AACAAAAAAATTGGTAACATTGGAGAAAAGGATTGAGAGGGCTTTCGCACGCATGTAATCAGAGGAAGTGTTTGCAGCCACCTCACAACCTGCCAGGTCTCTTATAAGAGGTAAATGTTAAGTACAGTGTCATAGTAGCATACTTTTGCTGCCACAACATAGATGGCACTCCTGAGAGTGGGTTTCCTTATAGCTAACAAGATGCCCTTCTGAAGAACTGTCTTCAGCATCAGTGTGGCCCTGCTGCCCAAGCAGGAAGTAGTTCAGAGAAGAAAACGGCCCCAGGAAGTTTAGGAGGAGCTGCCTGGCAAGATTCTTCCTAACTGCCTATGGTAGCTAGGTAGCTAGATGTTAGGCCCTGAGCTCTGAGCACAGACATTCTCAATTTGTCTTCCAGAGATAAGAGCCAGACCTTAGAAGAGCTGGGAAGAACAAATGGGAAGCATGATGTCTCTGGCCAAAAAAGGTGATTTCTTCCATGCTTTGTTGGTTTGTCATAGGTACGATACATGTCCTCGACAGATGCCAAAGTGGAACAGATGTTTCAGATACTGTTGGACCCTGAAGAGAAAGGCACTGAGAAGAAGCAAAAGGTATGGGCCCTGGAGTGAGCCAGTGGGCTGAACTCCACCAGAACTGCTATTCATACGTCTACTCACCAGTGCTGGCCTCAGATGTCCTGATGTCCTGATCTGCTGTCCTGAGGCTGCTCCTCAGGTCATGCATCCTAGACAGGAGCTCTTGGGCACTGGGTATGAAACAAGGGAAGGGAACTAATGTTCACAGAGTACCTTTGTGGCCAGCGTGCATCCTAGACAGGAGCTCTTGGGCACTGGGTCCTTAGTATGAAACAAGGGAAGGGAACTAATGTTCACAGAGTACCTTTGTGGCCAGCCTGGGGCCAGGAGCTGGTATGTAAGGTGACTGAGGTGTTGTTCTTGCCCTTTAAGCTCTGCTAGGGACTCAGCTCTAACCATCATCCCTGGAGTAGGCTCTCCGTTCTACTTACAGAGAAGGAAGCTGAAGTTCAGAGAGGTTAAATTCGGGGCTGCTACCTCTCAGCTGCTAAGGGGAAGCAGTGAGGTCCAGGGCTCTGCTTGCCCAGCTCTAGGATATATGTACTGTCAACATTATAATGTACTTCCTTCCACACAGGCTTCTCAGAACCTGGTGGTGTTGGCCCGGGAGGATGCTGGAGCGGAGAAGATCTTCCGGAGCAATGGGGTTCAGCTTTTGCAACGCCTGCTGGATACAGGAGAGACTGACCTCATGTTGGCAGCCCTGCGCACCCTGGTTGGCATCTGCTCTGAGCACCAATCACGGGTAGGTGATTGGGTGGTGGGATCTGGTTCAGTCTGTGTTTCTGTTCATTTGTTCATTCATCCATCTTAGCTATCCACTCATCCATCCCTCATAATATTCTAAAAAGAACTTAAAGCAGAGATACGAGAGGCACAATTAGAGGGGAAAAATAAAAAACATAGAAAAAGCCAACATGAATTAGGATGGAGTAGGGCCAGGAGGAGCAAACACAGCCCTCTTACACCCTGAGTACTGTTTCATGCAGCCAGTTCATAGATCGACACCTGGTCACTGCCTCATTCATGCTGGCCAGAAAGAGGCTCTATCCTTACTCTAAAGATCAGACTGTTTTTCCCTCTGGAGAGGGGTCCTTACAGTGAATGAGATGGTCAGTGATATCACCAGTAACATCTCTACCTTGGAGACAGTGACCTGCTACATAGGACTTGACACAGACCTGGTTAGCACTATGGACTGTGGTGTCTCAGCATGGGCAGTGCAGTGAGAATGGTCCAGCTCCTGGGCCAGGATGGTGAATTCCATTCCCCAGCTCTTACCAGTGAGACAGGGATTTTGGTTGCATTTGTATATATGTAAATAAATATATTTATTTAGAGTCAGGGTCTTCCTGTGTAGCCCAGGCTGCCTCAAACCCATGGTCGAACATGATTTCAGCATGTTCTACCGTGCTCATCTCCTTAATCGGTTTTAAAGGAATTGTAATTCCTAAAAGAGGGGCGGGACTGTGAAGTATTCAATGAAATCTCCTGAGGCCAAGCCTGGGCTATATTTGGAATGATCAAGCTATGCACATTCTATGGTCTCTATTAGCAACCCCCAGCAGGTGAGTGGGCCAACGTGGCTATTTTGGGTTCTCGAGCTTAGAAGAGGAACTGAGAGGCCTTGTAGGCCTGTTCCATGTGTGTTCACATCCCTTAGATGTAGACAAACCTTAGGGTTGGGTTTGGGGAGAAACTGGTACTATTAGGAAGCTTCGTTCGGGTGTTTCCTTCCTGAGAGGACATGAGACTGACTGAGCAGCTGCTACTGGGCTAAGTGCTACTTGTCTTCACTCATTGGCATCATCTCCTCCTCCTCCTCCTCTTTCTCTTCCTTCATATCGTTGGTTGACCTTCATAATTTGTGGCTATCCTTCTGCCTCTGTGCTGGGATTACAGGCATCTGCCATTATTCCCAACTGGGATGTTTTCCTTTTTGGTCTTCTTTGAGACAGGGCCTCCCTGTAGCTCCAGTTGGCCTGGAACTCACTATGTAGACTAGGCTGGCCTTGAACTCACAGAGATCTGCCTGCCTTTTCCTCCTGAGTGCTGGGATTAAAGGTGAGTGCCACCATGCCCGGCTGGGGTGTTTTCTATAGGAGCCTTTTTAGCAGAAATCCTGGCATGAGCTCAGGTCACACCATTAGACAAACCTACTCTCTTTTCACATGGAGCCAGGCCTACCACTCAGATGTTTGCTCACCTTCTGGCCCCATTCACCAACTCATAGTTAAGAATCACTATAGCTGCACTTCATCAACCAGAGCCCTGTCCAACTCTCTCCCACCGCAGACAGTGGCAACCTTGAGTGTACTGGGCACTCGACGAGTAGTCTCCTTTCTGGGTGTGGAAAACCAGGCTGTGTCGCTGGCTGCTTGCCACCTGCTGCAGGTTATATTTGATGCCCTGAGGGAAGGGGTCAAGAAAGGCTTCCGTGGCAAAGAAGGTGCCATCATCGTGGGTGAGTAGAAGCAGGTCTGGTCCTTTGGGTGGTGCTATTGTGAAAGGGACAGGGCTCAACTTGCCAGGCCAGTTCTTTTAGGATGAGATTTGTAGCTGCAAGTTGTTCAGGAATATGACTTATTATTGATATTTTACCTTAGATTCTTTTGTTTTGCTTTATTTTGTTGAGACAGGGTCCCACTGTGTAGTTCAGGCTGGCTTGGAACTTGCTATGTAGCCCAGGCTGGTCTCAAATTTTTAATCCTCTTACCCCAGCCTCCCAAGTGCTGACATTATAGTGTATGCCACCATGTTCCATTTTATTTTAGATTCTAATAGTGCAGGTGCTTTCTTGGGCCTCTTAGCAACCTACTCCATTCCAAAGGCCAAAAATGTCGAAAATATTTGGGAGCTTTTATCTAATCCTTAAAAGATTTTAGGGTTACCTCTTCAGAGGGGAAATGTTAGAGTAGCCAAAAGCCCATAAAAATAATAAATAAATAAATAAATAAATAAATAAATGAATAAATGAAAAAAAAAGTAGTGCAGGTGCTTGAGGGGTAAGCTTGAGCTCAGCCCAGAATCCAAGTTGAAGGTCTCCTTTCTTTGTATCTCTATGACTGTTGGGAGATAGTTCAGCAGTCAAATAGGGGTAGGCCACTGTAGAGCCCACTGATGGCCCCCTTTTCTATTGGGTTTTGTTTTTGTGTTTGGTGCTAAGAACTGAACCTAGAATGTCTTGATGTTGATCATTAATGTGTCTTATTGCCAGATCCTGCCCGGGAGCTGAAGGTGCTCATCAGTAACCTTTTAGAGCTACTGACTGAGGTGGGAGTCTCTGGCCAAGGCAGAGACAATGCCCTGACCCTCCTGATTAAAATGGTACCCCGGAAATCTCCAAAGGACCCCAATAACAGCCTCACACTCTGGGTCATTGACCAAGGTAGGTGAATACCATTTACAAAAACTTGCTTGGGTGGCTGAGCATGCTTAGCCCTAGGAGTGATAAGAAATGTAGCAATTGTACATAGCCATATATCTGCCCTGAAATGCCTTCCTATGGCCTGTCTAATCTCTTTAAGGAACTTAAAGACCCTCCAGGTATTTGCATATGTGTGTGTGCACGTGCACGTGTGCATGTACATTGGATAGTCCAGAAAACAAGTTAATAGTAGGGCTGTGTCAGCTTTCTGTATTTGAAGTTTTGGGGGGGTGGGTTTTTTTTTTTTTTGGTCTTTTTGAGACAGGGTCTCCCTGTAGCCCCAGCTGGCCTTGAACTCACAAAGATCCACCTGCCTCTGCCTCCCAAGTGCTGGGATTAAAGGCGTGTGCTACCATGCCCAGCTTTGAAGTTTTTTAAATTACATTTATTTTAATTAGTGTGTGTGTGTGTGTGTGTGTGTGTGAGAGAGAGAGAGAGAGACAGAGACAGAGAGAGAGAGAGACAGAGAGAGAGTGTATGTTATCCTAGTTTGCTTTCTGTAGCTTTGATTCAACACTGATCAAAACCAACTTGAAGAGGAAAGGGTTTATTTCATCTTGTAGCTTACAGTCCATCATTTGGCAAAACCCAGGTAGGATCCAAGGGTGGGAACCTGGAGGAAGAACTGAAGCAGAGACCAGAGGAGACACAGCTTCCTGGCCTGCTTCCCCAGGCTTGCTCAAGCTACTTTTCTTAGACAGCCCAGGCCCACCCGCCTAGAGGTGGTATCTCCCACAGTGAACTGGGTCCTTCTACATCAATTAACAATTAAGAAAATACTTCACGGGCATGCTCACAGGCCAGTCTGAGGGGGGAAACTCCTTAACTGAGGTTCCTTCTTCCCAAGTGACAAAAACTTGTGTTGACAAGAACTAACCAGCACACATATCATGGCACAGGTGGAGGTCAGATGGCAGCCTGCAGGAGTCAGTTCTCTCCTTCTACCATATGGGTCCTGGGGATCAAACTCAGATTTTCAGATTTGGTGGCAAACACCTTTACTTGCTGAGCCATCTCATCAGCATCTTTTTGAAGCTTCTCTTAGTGAGCATGAATTACAACTAGGAGAAAATAACAATGAAATTGTAGCATATCAATTCACACTTCTCAGTTTCCAAAAAGATAAAGAAGAAAAGCTTCGCAAGGCCCTGCCTGTGTAGTGATCCTTGGAGCCCGTTTCTGTTTCCCCAGCTTCGAAGAGCAGGACACTTATTTGACCGGTGGCCAGCTAGCACACAGACTCACTTCTGGGATCTTGCCTCCCTGAAAGGAGTTCATTAGCGAGCCAGCTTCTCTGTGCTTTTGTCGTTGACCTCTGTGACCTTCCTGGCTAAGAGAGAGGTGGCCTTGCTTTTCTGTGCATCTCCCAGACTGCCTCTTTTCTTTCCCTATCAGTGTTCTAATGTCTAAATGGGGTGTCTTTTCAGGTCTGAAAAAGATTCTGGAGGTGGGAGGCTCACTGCAGAACTCTCCTGGGGAGCTTGCAGTGACAGCAAACAGTCGCATGAGTGCCTCCATTCTCCTCAACAAGCTCTTTGAGGACCTGAAGTGTGATGCTGAGAGGGAGAATTTCCACCGACTCTGTGAGAACTACATCAGGTAAAGGCATGCCTGGGTGTCAGCAAAACAGCTCTGTCTGCAGAGGGACCAAATGACTGGCTTTTAGCAAGGAAGGACACTTTAAAGGAGGACTAGAAGGCTAGATACAGTGGTCTCAAGCATCCCACCCCTTTTTTTGTTTGTTTTTTGAGACAGGGTCTCATATATAGCCCTGGCTGTCCTAGAAGTTGCTATGTAGACCAGGCTGGTCTCAAACTCACAGAGATCCACTTGCCTCTGCCTTCCGAGTTCTGGGACTAGAGGCATGTGCCACCATGCCTCTAATGGCTTGCCCCCATTTAAAAAATTTATTTATTTATTTATTTATTTTATGTACATATGTGTTCATGTGCACACAGAAGCCAGAAAGGGACATTAAGGGGCTGGAGAGATGGCTCAGTGGTTAAGAACACTGGTTGTTATTGTAGGAACTCACAGAGATCCGCCTGCCTCTGCCTCCCGAGTGCTGGGATTAAAGGCATGCACCACCACGCCCGGCCTATTTATTGATTTTTATCTGTATGAGTGTTTTTGCCTGCATGTTTATAAGTGCACCTATATCGTGCAGTGCCTGTGGAGGCCAGAAGAGGGCGTTAGATCTCCTGAAACTGGAGTTCCAGACAGTTGTGAGCCACTGCATTGGTGCTAGGAACTGAACCTGGGTCCTCTGCAAGAGTAGCCAGTGCTCTTAACTGCTGAGCTATCTCTCCAGCCTTACCCCTTTTTTTTGAGATGAGAATCTTGCTATGTAGCCCAGGTTGGTGTGGAACTCTGGAGTTATTTCTCTCTTCCGACATGAACCTCCAGAGTAGCCAGGACTTAGTTGTGCGCCACTGTGCCCGGCCTAAGACCTACTTCTTGTTCCGAAGGGACTTCACCAGAGGAACTTTTTCAAATTGACTTTCCAATACTGTAACAAATATAGAAAGCACAACAAATATGTCAAATACTTACTAGACATTTGTCTAACCCACAAACAAAATGACAGTCTTTCCCTTGAAGAGCTGGCAGCTGAGAGGAAATGACTAACAATAATGACATTCAATAGAATGAATGACCTGGCACCTTTTGTTTTTTGAGACAGTGTCTCTCAGTAGCCTCAGCTGGCCTGGTATTCGCTATGTAGACCAGGCTGGCCTCAATCTCATAGCGATCTGCCTGCCTCTGCCACCAGAGTGCTGGGATTAAAGGTGTGTACCACCACAGCTGGCTGACCTGGGGTTTTAACCAGTACAGGAAAGAAATGAGCAGGGTCAATGTGTGAGAGTAAGGAATGTTTGCTGATGGTGCTCCAGGAAAAGCTCGAGTGAAGCAGTGAAGGAAATTGGTGACTGCTGTTATGGTAGAAATGCCCAGTTTTCCTCCTGGCAGCTTTTCTTGCTATTTCTGCCCAAGTAATGTCAAGTGCCTAGCCTGTGTAGGGAAGCTGGGAAGAGTTCCTTTATGTGTGCTTTGGCATGACATTTGTTACTCTGTGCCCCTCAGGAGCTGGTTTGAGGGCCAAGGGCTGGCCGGAAAGCTACGGGCCATCCAGACGGTGTCCTGCCTTCTGCAGGGTCCATGTGATGCTGGAAATCGTGCCTTGGAACTGAGCGGTGTCATGGAGAGTGTGATTGCTCTGTGTGCCTCTGAGCAGGAGGAAGAGCAGCTGGTGGCCATAGAAGCTCTGATCCATGCAGCTGGGAAGGCCAAGCGGGCCTCATTCATCACTGCCAATGGTGTCTCGCTGCTCAAAGACCTGTACAAGCGCAGTGAGAGAGACAGCATCCGCATCCGGGCACTGGTGGTAAGATGGGAGGCCTGGGTGGGCAGTCAAAGCAGGGGTGCTGGCCAGCTGGTGTCTTGTAGGGCACTCAGGGCTTTTTGTATGACATCAAAGGCACAGAGCCATCTCAGTATAGACTGGGAAGGGCTGAGGTTCAGGATACTATGGTGGCCAGTGTGTCAGTCTCTACTAGACACTAGATTCTGTGGCCACCTCAGTAGATGATTGCTAATGCTCCACATGTAACCTGTAGGAATGGTGATAATTTTTGTGTGTGGTCCCCCAAGAGCTGTGGCAGTGAACCCAGGAGGGAGCCCAAGCTGGATAGGGAAGCTGGGCTCTTCCCAGTGGTGAGAAAACTGGTCTTGTCCTCTTCTTCCAGGGACTCTGTAAGCTTGGCTCAGCTGGAGGGACTGACTTTAGCATGAAGCAGTTTGCTGAAGGCTCTACTCTGAAACTGGCCAAGCAGTGCCGGAAGTGAGTCATGTGTTTCTGTGTGTGGGACAGATCTTGAAGAGGGGGTGTGGGCCTGGGAAGGTGGCTCAGTGGGAAAGAGCACCTGCTGCACAAGCCTAAGGGCCTGAGTTTGAATCTCCAACACCCACTGAGAAAGTTGGGTATGCCCATTTGCATGCATATAACCCCAGTGCTGTGGGGATAGAGACAGGAGGATCATGGGGCTTGTTGACTGACAGCCTGCCTTCAGGTTTGGTGAGACCCTATTTCAAGGGAATAAGACAGAGTAATAAAATAGCACTTGACACCTTCTTCTGGCCTCCACATATACATAGGTGTGCACATCTATGTACACTTGCACACATGCACAATATTTTTTAAAGGGAGGGGCCGCAGAGGATGGAGTCTCCTGACCCATGAATTCCTTTGTCAAGGGGAGGCCTAAGCCTCTGACTCTCTTCCTTTTCCTGATTATTCCTTTCCATTTCCCATTTCTTTCTTTTTGTCATTTTATATATATATATATATATATATATGTTTTTTTTTTGTTTCAAATTGGGCAGGCATCAGTAAGGGGGAGATGTAGATAGGGCGAGGGAATCTAAATATTATCAAACTATAGTATATGAAAATCACAAATATTCA